AGTCCAGAGCACATCAAATGTATGGTCATCCTAAGCTCTGGCCCCTGCTCCTCTCTCCAATTCCATCCCCAACCCTTTCTGCCTTGCTCACCCCGCCACAAGACCTCCCTGCCATTCCACCGATATTTCATGCTTCTTCCTGCCTCAGGACTTTGCATTTGCTCTTCCTTCCACCTGGAATCCTCTTCCCCCAGATCTTCTCAGATTCTCTCACCCATTCAGGTCTTTGGTCAAATGTCACATCCTCAGGGAGGACTCTCCTGACAACCCTATCTAAGTGCCACCAATCTCCCAGTCACTCTGTGTCCCCACCCCGACTGCTTTATCTTACTTCACAGCATCTATTAATATCACTGGCATTATATTATATATGTCGATATATTTGTTTATTGTCTGTGTCTCCATAAGAAGGAGAATTCACTGAAGGTAGAGATTTGTCTCTTCTGCTCACTGCTGACTCCCCCAGCTACTAGAACAGTGCCTGGCATGTAATAGGTATGCTATAAATACTTTCAGTTAGAACGAACTTGTTCGAGAAGCTCGACTGTGATGGGAAAGTAAGCTCAGACAGTAGCTGGAGAAAAATGTGGAATTCAGGATCTGTTTGCTTTTGCTTTGTTTTAAGATGGGAGAGAGTAGAGCATGGACCAAGCAGCAGGAAATGCTCACTCCATGAGACCTTTATGAAAAGGCTTCCACATTGACTGAAGTTCTTGGGGTAAGAATCATTTTGACTCTGTGTGTGTGTGTGTGTGTGTGTGTGTGTGTGTGTGGCTGGCCAGTGCAGGTATCCAAACCCTTGACCTTGATGTTATAACACTGTGCTCTAACCAACTGAGCTAACTAGGCAGCCCAGTTGTTCATTTTATGTTCCTTAGTGCCTAGCAAAGTACCTAGCACACAGAAGTCATTCTAAAATATCTGTAAAATAAATAAATAATAACAAAAATGAAAACAAATTTTTATTGCACTTAATATGTGCTAGGCACCGTACTAAGTTGACATGTATTGACTCATTTAAATCTCATAACAACCCTGTAAGCGAAGTTACTATTATTATTCCATTTTACTGAGATACAGGGAGGTTGAGTAACTTACCCAAGATCACACAGCTAGTAAGTGGTGAAAGTGGGATTCTAACCAGGCAGGCTGGCACCAGAATTTCTGCTGGTAACCACTGCAGCATGCATTAGAGCAGGGGTGGGCCAATCTGGAGACTCTCACAATAGGCCAGGCAATAGACTAGCTTAGAGGGGGAGAAGAGGGAACAGATCTGAGTGA